AGCAACTCATATTCCGCTTGGGAACCCTGCAGCCCAATGGTATCAATGTGGATTTCACAAGCTTCAAAATCTCCCCTCCCCCTACCGCATCCCAAAACCAGTCCAGCTCATCCCTGCCTCCCTAACCTGTTCTTCCTCCCACCTATCCCCTCCTCCCACCTCAAGCCGCACCTCCATCTCCTACCGACCAACCTCATCCCGCCCCCTTGACCTGTCCATCCTCCCTGGACTGACCTATCTCCTCCCTACCTCCCCACCTACACTCACCTTTACTGGCTCCATCCCCGCCTCTTTGACCTGCCTGTCTCCTCTCCACCTATCTTCTCCTCTATCCATCTTCTATCCGCCTCCCCCTCTCTCCCTATTTATTTCAGAACCCCCTTCCCCTCCCCCTTTTCTGATGAAGGGTCTAGGCCCAAAACGTCAGCCTTTCTGCTCCTATGATGCTGCTTGGCCTGCTGTGTTCATCCAGCTCTGCACCTTGTTATCTCGAATTATTAAAGTAATCAATGTGCTGGTAAAAGAGATGCAGGTGGGAACCGGAATATGACGGGAAACAGGAATGTTCCACATATCTGACCAGAAAAGGAGACACAACCCATATGAGTAACCTTCACGACTGGAGAAAGGGAGTGAAGTTAAAGAAATTATTCAATGTATGAACAAGAACAGCTGGGGGGAGAGTGATGCTGGATGGAAACTGGTTGAGAGTGCACTCGAAGCTGAAGGAAACTATAATTGGAACAAGAGAGGGCTATTTGTAAATGCTTGAGACTATGGCGTCATTTGATAACATCATCAGCTATCACATGACAGCACGTAATAGTCCAACAGTTTCATTTCCCAACTGCGGCCACATGGTAGACATTCCTTGATTTGTACATCTAATCTTGGGCCTCTGCCTAATTTGTGTAAAGAGATTCCTCTAGCCTCTCTAGTGCTTGTCCAATATTCTGTAGCTACTTGCTGTGTAATTTTGAAATTGGCTTTTTATTTCCTGTTGCTTCTTTTATCATGTTGCCGTATTTGACCATGATATTGATGGGAACCCAGTGCACATTAGTCAGTGTGTTAGCCTTGACAGCACATATTTATGTGCAGAGACACAAGGAGCTGTATAGATGTCTTATAATGAATAGGTTTATAAGTTTGATATTATTTTGACTGATGAATAGGTTTACAAGTGAGTGGGTGGAAAACAGATAAAGTTCAGAGTTTTCGATCAAATGTCGGCGTGTTGACTTTCACACAAAATCAACCATATATGGTATGAAGTAGATATTTAACTTTGTTTTTAAGATTCATAGTAACTTTTTTCAATCTTTATACAACATTGCTGTGAATTACTTAAGGTGTTCAATGAGTTAAGTTGCACATTGTATGTATAGTACAAGGAAAATAACTTGATCCTCTTGCACAAGGGTTCTCTCAATTTTTCAGAACACCTACCAGTTCTATCTCAACTACTTTCACTTGCCATCAAAAAACAAGCTCACCAGAATTAATGGGGACTTAGGGCAATTATAAATGTGTTGTTTTGTTTTTGCTACTAAATATAAATTAAAAAGCATTAATTTTTAAAATAAAGTAACATTATTAATTTTTGCGAGATGCTGAAGTATATGTTCATGAAGACATGTTCGTAATCTAAATAAGTTAAGAAGAGAACACTAAAATAAAAGCAAATGGATGTTTGCTATCTGAAATAAAAACTGAAGTGCTGGAATTACTCAAGTGGAGTAGCATCAGTGGGGAGAGAAAACATTTCCATGTCCATTTGAATATGACTGTTCAGAAGAGAGCATATTTATTTGAGATGTTCTAGTATTGTAAATTGTCACAATCTTCAAAGATAAACTTAACATTCACAGTTGTTTGGTAGTACAGAACTTGAGTATTGTTAAAAAAACAGTTTGTTGAAGCTTCTCATCTTGCACTGTTCAGGACATTTTACAAGAAAATCAACTAAAGGGGAAAACTGATGAGAGTACTGATTGGTTGGCATGTGTACTCTGATTAGTAGAGGCATTGCCATGGCAAATGCAACAGTTAATGCTGATTGACTGTTAACTGCCAGACTTCACTTCAAATTTAAACTAGTTACTTTGACTGTGACATATTCTGTGTAATCTGGCAAATTTTTGTCTGTTCACTTCACCTATTTCTATCCCTTTGTAGACTCTTTCGCCCTTCCCACAACTCATGTGCCTTCCTATCTTCTCATCAGCAAATATGTCAATGATGAACTAAGTTCCTTTGTCCAAGTCATTTATATGTTGTAAACATATCAGACCCTACCACTGATCGATTTGGCACTACACTGATGATTGCTTTCCACCTTAAAAATGATGTATTTATTGCAACTCTGTCCCGATTAGCGAGCCAGTCCTTTATGCAATCTATCAGGCCCAGCACCGTAAACCATTGTGTCGTAGCCTTTTATGTGACATCCCATCAAATATCTTTTGTAAATCCAAATACATAAAATTTACAAGGTCCAGCTTATCAATCCCCTGCATCTTAGATTGTCCAAGGATGCTCATAAATTTATCTAACATGATTTATCTTTCTTAAAACCATGATGACATTGCTTGACGATAATATGATTTGCCAAATGTCCTCCTACGATTACTGTTAAGAGTGGATTCTGGCAGATGTTGGGCTCAATGGCTTAGAATTTCCAGCTGTGCAGTCTCCCTGTTCTTGAACAGTGTTGTGCAATTTGCCTTTCTTTTGCGCAGTGGGATATTTCCAGAATATTGGGTGTTTCAAATTTTGTACCCAATGATTCCACTATCTCTGCAGTCACTTATTTTAAGACCCTTGGAAGCTTTTCCTCAAATCCCCTTGAAATCTCCTGCCTTTAACTGTAAAATTATGCCCCCTTGTTATTGACCTTTTGACTAAGAGAAACAATTGCTTTCCATTCACCCTGTCAATGTCCCTCAATCTTAGCAGAATGTCTTTCTAAATTCTTCCCTGCTCAGTGGATCATGAGACCCGGATTCTTCCCCTCCCACTCCAGGTTCGACTCCAGCTCTGAGGAGATATTCTTAACCTTGGCACTTGCAGGTCAACATAAGACTTGTGTTCACAGTTGCAGAGAATGTATCTATCCTACTAACTATAGTTTTCCCCTGCTGCAACTGCTTTTCTCTTTACTCCTCTCACTTGAATTACTCCCTGCACTGTGGCGCTGGGGTCAGTTTGTTCGTCTTTACTGCAACAGAAGCTGCAGGAACCTTTCATCTGTTCGGCAGTTGCAAGGACTGGGGTGCCTCCAGTGCTACTTTTTGGATCCCCATACTATCTCACCTGTGGTCGTATCCACCTGTCCCTTACCATGGACTTCATACAATGTACCTTGCCTAAGGGGTACGATTGCTTCCTGGAAGAAAGTCTTCAGATAACTATTCTTTTTCCTTGATGCATTTCAGTATTTGAAGTTCTGAACCTAGTTCATAATCTCTGGGCTGAAGTTCCTCAAGCTGTAGACCATGTATTTGTGGTTGCTGTGGATCACACAATTGTCCACCAACGTCCATGGGCTACAGCTGCTACACTGGTTTCACTGGTTACACAGCATTGAATTTATACTGTATTTCCTCAGTACCAGGTTAAACAACCGTGTTTCTAGAGAGGTAAGAAAATATAAAAGTCACCAATCTCTCATCTACCTGTTCACCCAATTAATGTTTGCCAACTTAAGCTCCCATGCCCTGCTGCTCCCTTCCAGCACCTTCTGAGGCCAACCCTTCTTTTCTGCACCGGTACAGAACAGCATCTTTTCTGTCACTGCATTGAATTCCCTCACTTACCAGATTCCCAAGCTTACACTCTGTCTCGGGATGCTATTTTTATGCTTGCCTGTTTTGTTCAGTGAGAGTACTTGTTTTTATACTCATTGATATCCCGTAGAGCTGAGTCAAGCACTGCTGGCTGGAGAAGCCAGTTTGAATTAGCAAATTGATTGCAGCAAATTTTGTTTGAATCGGCACTCTCATGTATTTTATACCTCAAATACTGGAAGTTTGTTATAATATCATGCTCTCCGTGATGTCTGAGAAGTCAGTTGAGAGTGTGAATGAGAGGGCTCTCTGCTGGTAAGTTTTATTTAAGGCAGAGTTACGTTATTAGTTCTGTGATTTGTGCTGTAAACAAAGTAAAGAAGTGATGTGTGTGCATCCTGTATTGTTTCTATTACTTAGTGTGTGTTTTTAAGTTGATTATGTGGACCTCTTGATCAACCGGTATATTCCTGGTTCTATAGATGCCGGTTAATAATAAGTTTGCTCTACTTATAGTGCCTGCAGAGAGTTTGTTCGTCCTTCATTTAAGACTGAAAAACCTAACAGTAGATTATAGCTAAATGCAAACTTTACAACATTTTAAAATTCCCTCAATTATTGGATTCTCCAGCTTGCACTCTAACTTGAACTCTACTCCATTTTGAGCTGCTATGTTTGTGCTTGCTAACTTTTGTAAATAATATTTACGATGAAAGTAAATCATATGGTAGCAAAATGAATATTTTTTCATGACTTGAAATTTGTTTTGAAATGCATAAGCCCTTGTGTCCTTGAGTGTTTATTATGACTAAAGTGTTCTGAATTTAGGCTTTTTTTATTTAATGCTGCACACGTTCATAAATGGGTCCTGTTGTATTTTATGAATTGTAAAAGATAATTCCAAAAACAAATCACCAATCATGTCTGTAATCAGAAATTTGGAGCAAAATCCTACTTGACTATCTTAATATGTTGGTGAATGACCAGTTTTGCCATGGCTACCCAAAAGCAACTTGAGTGAAAAATATGTATTAGAATGAAAAAATCTACAATGTGCAACATGGAGACAACCTGTTAGATAGCAGATACCTACAATTGAAAGTAACTTGTGATGAATTAAAATAGTTTCTCATAGCTGTTATTCTGTGCTACATAAATCTTAACCTGTTTCATTAAAGGTTATTTTTGAAATTCCTTTTACTCTGTTTTCAGTGAATTTGTTCGCGGTGAAACATCGCAGGAGCCAGTTTACGGTCCTACCAGCCAACCTTCTTCCTCCTCCTCTTCAACTTCATCAGCTTTCTGCCCAGTAGTACCATCTAGACCAGTTGTAGAAAGGCAACCAAGAATGTTAAACTTCAGAGTAGAATACCGTGACAGAAACGTGGAAGTCGTAGTTGAAGACACGAACACAGTTGGTAAGATTTTTAAAAGTATTCTTCTGAAACAACGTAAGTGTGGTTAAACTGACCAAGAGGTTTTACGTATTTTCCAGCCACCTCCCAGCTTCTTGTACCACTTACACTGACATTTATTCCCAAAAGATCATCTTTGTACACCCAGCAATATTTGAACCCTTGTACTGAATATAACTAAATACTTATGTTATGGTTGTTCAGTACCTTCTTGGTCCAAGATAATGTTGATTCTTCAGGACTGTATAGGAAAGACTTAAGCATGTTTCCAGCATTGAGCAGATCTGCATCTATTTTAGTGCTGGGATATATGTGCTGAATGCATCAGCTCAGTTTTATTAGAAGTCCAGAAAATTTTGTATTTGTTCCTAGTAGTTTTGTTGTTGAGCCTTTGGGATTTCAAGTAAATGAAGAATGTTGCTCTTGAAAGCACAGCTCTCACTTAAACTGATCAGATTTTCAGCACAGCCTTAAAATAAGAGGGGGATTAGTTAAATCAAATGTCAATAGAATGACATGGCCAATTTTCTGTAAAAATGAGCTTTTACAATTCATAACAAGTTGAATCCTTGTTTATATAATTTTTGGTCAGCATACTGGAAATGACTTTAATTACCAGAGAAGATAGTTGCAGATTCAGTTGTGGCTTTCAAAAGTGAATTGAATAAGCAGCAAAAAGAAATGATTTATAGATCTACTTGAATAGGGTGGAGATATGGAACTTTTTTTTCTTTAGTCATTCACGGGACGAGGGCATCGCTGGCCAGGCAGCATTTATCGCCCATCCCTAATTGCCCAATACGGCATTAGTGAACTAGATAGGTTTTTCCCAACAATCGATTCGTGGTCATCATTAGACTCTTTAATTCCACATATTTATTGTATTCAAATTATTGAGTTCAACCATCTGCCATGGCAGGATTTGAACACAGGTCCCCAGAACATTACCTGGGTCCCTGGGTTAACAGTCCAGTGTAGTACCACCTAGGCCATTGCCTCCCCCATCTGGCTAAATTGTTCTTGCAGAGAACTGGTGCAGACTTGGCCATCTGATTGACATCCTCCTTCTGTGCTGTTACCATTGTGTGATCCTTATGATAGAATATAGGTAAATCCAGTAACATTTTGAATCATTGCCAAAGGATAGAATACTGTTCTCTATTGAGGGAAGGCAATTACCTACTCTGAGCTACCATGTGATGACAAATATGGAAGAGTGCTATTATTATATAGAAACGATACCATGTATACATGGTGATGATCTTAGCCCTATACCTCTTCTCATAAAACTAACGACACAAAACTGCATAACAGGAAGAAATATGAATTATATAGTTGGAGATAATAAGAACTGCCGATGCTGGAGTCTGAGATAACATAATGTGGAGCTGGAGGAACACAGCTGGCCATTTTTTCTGAAGGGTCCTGACCCGAAATGTGAGCCTTCCTGCTCCTCTGATGCTGCCTGGTCTGCTGTGTTCCTCCAGCTCCACACTGAATTATATATTACTTTGCACTGCATTTAATGTACTTGCAGCTTTGTTACTAAAGCCAAAAGCAAAATCTTGGTGACACTGGCAATCTGAAATAAAAACCGACTTGGTAGAACTGTCAAGAGTTCATTGTGTTATGGCCAGATCAGACTCCCTCAAAACATGTCAAGGAGATAGCCTAGACCTTAACTTTTTCTTATTTTAAAAGCAAGTGCCAGGTGTTGTGTTCCGAGTGTAATTTGATTGGTCAAACTACCAGGCTTGAAGCAAAACACACTTTATTCATACACTATGATTAAAATACAAACAAACGAAAGAAGAATTGGAATAACCAAATTCAGTTTGGAAAACATAACAGAATAATAGATTATTTACCTACTAAACAGCAACTGTTCCAAAACAGTAACATCCCATAAATACACCCATGGCAAAGGCCACTTCAGTAACATTGATTGTCTCACATGCAATTCTAGCAGCAGGAAGGCAACCCAAGCTTTTATTTGTAACAAAGAGAGAGAGATGTAGCAGCTTTTGCAACCCCTTATTGAAAGTTAAACTAAATATCCTGGTTCTGTGGGATCTTGACCCCACTCATTCAGGGTGTTTCTTTTGTTCCAACTTGTTTTAAAAGAAAATCCAAGGCCTCACAAACTGTTTACTTTATTGGCTTGAAGCAGACAGCTCTCACCTCTGGCTCAACCTTCAAAACAAAAGGAAAAAATACACCTTTTACAGCCATCATCATTGGCGGTCCCTTGCAGGCAAGGATGAGACTGTAGGTGGCTGTGAAGACCGATGTGGTTACTGCAGGCTCTGTTACATCTGGCACAGGTGGTGATCATGGGAAGAGGTGGTTGGGGCATTGGTGTGGCAGTGCGCTCCTTTGGCTGTTTTCGCCTGGCTTCCGTTTATTCCCAAAGGCAAGTCTCAAGGTTCTCGACATCTTCCCACATGGTCCTTCTCCACTTTGGATGGTCTTGGGCCATAGTATTGTCACAGTTGACCTAAAGTGCTAATGATAGTTTCTTTTCCCCATGTTTTCTGTTTCTGTTACTTGACTTGGTGTTTGATATATAGAATGAGGTATCATCCCATGGTTGTTTTGTGTGCTACATGCGTTGTCATCACTAGTTAAAAGCAGATGCTAATTTTTGTAGGGGTATTGTTCTGTTGTGTCTCAATGCTCTATCATAAGACCAGTAAATAGTGTCAGGGTATTTCATTTGGATGCCCTATCTACTCCTGTCATTGTATAGCATCAATAAATGTGCACTTATTTTGGGGTATGTTTCAATTTTACCCAACAAATGCAATTTCACGTTTGTCTCTTTGAGTTCCATTTGTGGCATTCTGCCCATTGTCTGATCTCTCCCATCATTATGCAGTGTCCTGGACTTTGTCCTTTTGGTTTACCATACCACTAGTTTGATATAATAAGTAAATTTTGATACTACTGTATAGGTATAATCTTGAGGGAATCCTTCAACTTTGGGCAAGAATTTCAAACTCTCTTACTAACTGAAAGAAATTATGCCTCGATCTTGCTTTATAAAAATGAACTTTTGCTGCATAAGAATTGAAGTAAGTACTACTGAGTTGGTACTGTTCCATGCTTATGATTTAGGAGTAGGCCATTTGGTCCCTTGAGCCTGCTGCACTATTCAGTAAGATTATGGCTGATCTGATGGTGGCCTCAAGTTCATGTTCCTGCCTAGTCATGATAACTTTTGACTCACCTTATTTGTCAAGAATACATCTACCTCTGCCTTAAAAATATTGAAATCCTTATTTAACCTAAAAATCTGAAAATACCACCTTCTGTTCCGGTTTTAATTTCACCTGGGAGTTCCCCTATACATTAAAGTATCTTGAGATTTCTTTATTCCCCCAGAACCAAAAGGAGGTGTGGCACAGATTTTAGGAATTCAGTTTAGCTCTCCTCAACTTCTAGTTTGGCACTTAGATTTCCAGAGCTCGCTGTCTTTGAGGATTTCACTTCTAATCTCCTCCAGTAGCGTCAGCAGCCAGATCAGGTTATTTTAATTCCTTGGGGTTTAATTTTGCAAATTGCCCCAGCTCAAATTCTGCTTGGCTGCTCCAGATCAGGGCTGTTCCTGATTTCCAACGGTTTCTCTGCTTCTTGCTCTGGCTCTTGGCAAATACGTAACTTTCTCATCATAGTATTTGGACCTGACCTTGTTTACTTTTAATATCTATTTGATCTAGGACCCCTCTTAAGAAGATAACTGTGGACATCTTGACTCTACCAAGACTCTGAAGGATTACCCGTTGTTTAATGTTGTCACACTTCTAACTCTGACGTTATCAGACATATGTAGGCCAGTTGTTGATGTTTTATTTACTTCCAGAAATGTTATCAATCTCACAATAGAACTGCTAGTTTTAATAGGATGTAGGTAATTTGAAGATCTGTTACAGGATTGCCAAGCCAGCGGATTTGTTAATGAAGCTCAGCAACTACTGTCATGGGAAAGCGCAGCTGCACTCTTTGACACTACATAATGCAAACTATATCAACAATGCTGCTGGTCACATTTTCTCCATCCTACTTGGTTGTTGTTTAGTATACTCCCTCTTTGTGCAATATGAGAACATCACCTTTTTTCCAATGTGAAATATATACATTCAGAATTGAAGTTTTTGTATGTAAGTATAGTTGTGAAAACAATTCACACAAAAAAGGATGGAAGAATTTAACAATCTTCCTGGATTTCCTGATGGGTTAACTTCTCCGAGATATAGTTATCACTCGTGTCTTGTTGCCCTGTTGGTGTCTTACCTATTGTTAGAGCCCTGATTGTTTGCATGGTAGTTGCTCTCCAAATTTCTTTGATTGTGTAAAAACTGAAAGAACTGCAGATGCTGCTCAGGAACAAAGACAGAAGTTGCTGGTAATGTTCAGCAGGTCTGGCAGCATCTGTGAAGAAAAAAATCAGATTTAATGTTTTTTTCTTCACAAATGCTGCCAGACCTGCTGAGCTTTTCCAGAAACTTCTGTCTTTGTTCTTTGATTGTGTTCTTTGCACAACTGGTGTGCTTGATATTATAATGTTGAACAGTTCCTTGAGTTGACCTCTGTTTCTCCTCAATGTTGTTCCATTAAGTTTTGTGATATTGTTGAATTTAGGCTCATTACATATTTCTACAGGTAATCAGGGGTTGGATGTATGACCCTGTCACTCTTGTCCTATGTGCAGGCAAGGCAGTTTTGTGCGTGTTGATAAGGTATCATCTTCATTCTCTTCTCTTTTTGCTACGTTTGTCTTGTATTTCTGAGAACTTGAATAGGTCTTGGCTTGACAAGGTTGTCCTAACCTGCTTTCTGGGTGTTATCTCCTCTGGTAATGGTAAATGTATATTTATGTGTATTGTTCTTTAAGTGTAACACAGCATTGTGGAGATCCTGTTTTGCTACTTTGCAGTTCATGATCAGTGCTTTAATGCTGTGAGCTGTTCATTGTGAGGCTGTTGGATTTGAATTCGTGTGGT